TATATATATATATATATATATATATAATATTTGGTTATGTGCACTTCACCATTTTCTAAACTATAGAAGAAAATAATATAAGAAAAATTAAAACCATGTATGCGCAAATAAGGACAAAGAAAAAGATCATTAAATTATTTTAACTTTTATATTTTAGTCCCGTATCCTTAAATCTTCTTCTGTTACTTTGATACGCGTCTCTTTTAAATTGAAAGACATACAACAACTGTAATAACAAATGGGCTTTCAGCCTTGGGATTAAATTTTATCGGTATGGTTGTCGCACCGTCCTTGGACTCCAATGCGAGCTAAACAAGTTCGCAGATTTGTCGATTCGACCAGTGGTTTAAATGGCTTTGGGTGTTTCAATTGCAACGTAGATTCTTTGATATATTTGGATTGGATCGGTCACCGGTTCATGATCAAAATGACTGAACCGACAGATCCGATTCAATTTTCAAAACATTGTTAGGAGCAACTTCTATTCAATTCCATCCTAATAGTTACTAGTTCACCACCCTTCATTTGGACTTCTCCACCGACTGTTCTCCAGGTGCAACTCCAGATCACGTAAGCCCTTGACCCAAAACCTTCTCACTAGAAGGAAGAACAGAGCAATCCCTTATCTTGTAGTTACTTTCCTATTCTCAGCTTGCACCTTTTTCTAACGTAGACCATAATGGTGAGTATTAATGATGTTCGTAGGCTGTGAGGGACGGAGACGGGAGCCGCATAAGCTTATGTGAGATGCGTCGTTACCACATCTTTGAGATGCATTGTTGCAGAGTCTTTGGGTAGAATTTCCACACTATTATTTGGGTTAGCTCGATGTTCAGGATGATGTGCCGCTTTGCAGATTTCTTCATGACCCTGCGACGCCAGTTGTTGTTACGCATGATGCTTCGTCGCAATGAGTAGACGACGACAGATGGTCATCGTTGGCGACCAGCGAGTGGTGGTTGACGATTGCAGGAATATCAGACAACTTTAGCTCATTCTCCAAGCTTTAGTCTTCATCAAGCTTTAAGTTATCTCCCCTCATAAAAAGAGAGACTCTATTTATAAAATATCAGTTGCAATTAATGAAGGAATATAAACCATTCTCATTTGATGGTCCAGAGAGATTCTATTGATCAAATGACATTTAATGGACATTTGAGTGTCTTAATGATGTTGAAATTTTACAATCTTGGGCTCTTGATTCACCTTAGCGAGACGCTTGATTCAACCACAAGCTCGTTAGATTCAACATCTGCATAACTTTCTAAATATGCCCGATACTCCTCCAAAAGCGGTCTAATGGCTTGATCAAGGATTAATTTGATTCAAATTGGGTCAATTTTGGTACGATTGGGTTTGCCTTGTCGAGCCGATTAGTGACTATAAGTTTGCCGAAATTGAAGCCTTGGGTGATTTTTAATAGAAGTTTGAATGTTTCTTATTCAAAAGATCATCTCGAGATCAATGTCATGCCTTCAGATTTGTGCCGTATAATGAAAATTTATTCATGTAGTATCACTACTCATTCAGAGCCAATATGAGAATGGCATGCAATTTCAACATCCATATAAGAGCAAATGAAAATTAGGAAAAAGAAAATTTCAAATCACATGGAGAAGTATAAATTGCATGCAACTAGAATTAATTGCATTAAATGAGACATTTTGTAATTTGTGAGAAGATATGGTGTTGAAATCTAAAATTATTTTACAAATGTTCATGACTACCTCACAAGTGAATGGAAGGGATTTCTTGGGAAACTACAACTAGTGTGAGAATTCAACAAGCTCAACAAATTGCACAATATCTTTTGTTCTTTCTTTAACACAATAAATAAAGAAACTTACTATTTGTTACAAACTAGAGATATTGGCTTAAGCTCTACACATTTAACAAGCATAAATGAGAGGTTCAAAGTTTATTAGTTTAATCGAGGTTGAATGACATAGTAAATATTAAAATTAATTATAAATATCTTATAACATTACTATATATATATATATATATATATATATA